AGGCACCTCGCTGTGTTCTAGGCACTTTATGTGATTTCAGCCTTACAAAACCCCACGAAACAGGGACTTTTAATAGCTCCACTGCACAGATGAGGACACTGAGGCTTAGAGAGTTGAGTTAACTTGCTGAGTGCCACACAGCTGAGCGGCAGAGCCAGGCTCTAGATCGAGGCGGTCTAGTTTCAGGGTCTAGATACTTGGTTACTATTTCCTAAGAACTCTTTCTTATTTGCAAATTTCTGGCAAAGTGTGACAAGATGCTTAGGGGGCCTCTGACCTTTCTGAGAACAAAATCCTGAAAGTAATGGAAGAGCTGATCTTTGCAACCACAAGAATACTAAAAGTTGTTGGGGTTCTCTACAAATACGACTCGGATTTTTTAACCATGCGTCTATGCAAATACAATAGCTCTTGGAACACAAAGAGTAGGGAAAAAAGCTGACACACATAGCAGAAACAATTCAGTTTCCAGTGACATTTGAGATACCCGAGTTATCAGGGCAGAAGCAAAGGCAGGAAGGGAAGACAGATGCCCAGCTCCCAGCCATTGGCACGAGGGCTGGGAGCGCTGCTTCCAGGCCATGCCCTAGATACCACCTGGAATTCCTGGAGCACTCTTACTCAGCCATCCCCGCTGGGGACCCCGGGGGCCCTGTCCTCACCACCACACCTCTCACCTCACAAAGATTCTACTTCCTGAACATTTCCTGAGCTCACCGCTTACCCCAGTCGCCACCACCACACCCTCCTCCTCCTACCACCTATGGTGCCACGGGCCCTTTCTACAGCCCACACCTGACTGCACCACAAGCCTGCCCCAAACTGCCCCGGAGAATGGACCAGAATGCAGCCATTAAGCATGAAATCAGGGCCACTGCTGGTGGCAGGATGAACGAATACAGCCTCGATGATGGATCAATTGTAAAATCTAAATAAAAAGCACATAGCTTTTGACCCAGCAATCAACTGTGAGAAACTTATTAAATACACAAATGGAAAGTAGCAAAATGGATATGAACATTAATTTCAGCATGGCTTGTGGCAGCCAAAGACTCGGGTAACCTAAATGACTAGTGGAGGCCTCTAAACCTGCTGTTTTCACACTCGGGTATGGGTCAGGAGGGCTTGTTAAAACATGTACAGCTGGGCCCCCCTCCAGTTTCTGGTTACCAATCTGGTTCTGGCATGCTCCCCAGTGATGCGGATGCTGATGCCGCCCTGCGGTGACCACGCTTTGAGAACCTGCACTTTAAACTGGGGGGTGCAGGCAGGCCCCCCCTCCTTTGCTGAAGAAGTACTACACAGACTGGCCTGGTCTGACCTCCAACACAGGGATAGGTGGTGAAAAAGGGCCACGGTGCAAAACACAGAGTCTACAGAACAAAAACGGAGCTAAAGCCATACTTGTTTACGTGTGAAGGACAAAACCTCTGGATGACTAGCTAGGGCAGGTGACAGGGGCTGCCTGTGCGGAGGGCAGCTGTGGTGGGAGACTGCGCTCCTGAGCATCTGAATCCTGAACCATGGACGTGTATTCCCTTATCTCCCACTCTCCTGCCATGAAAAGATGTGGCAGGGGCTGGTGCTGTGGCACAGTGGGTTAATACCCTGACCTGAAGCGCCAGCATCCCATAAGGGCGCCGGTTCGAGTCCCGTCTGCTCCACTTCCCATCCAACTCTCTGCTATGGCCAGGGAAAGCAGTAGAAGATGGCCCAAGTCCTTGGGCCCCTGCACCCGCATGGGGGACCCGGAGGAAGCTCCTGGCTCCTGATCGGCACAGCTCTGGCCGCTGTGGTCACATGGGGAGTGAACCATCAGATGAAGACCTCTCTCTTCTCTCTCTGCCTCTCCTCTCTCTGCATAATTCTGACTTTCGAATAAATAAATAAATCTTTTTTTTTTTTTTAAAGAAAAGATGTGGCAGAGCTACAAGTGTTAACACAGGAAAAGGACCAGGACACATTGTAAAAGGACAACAAAATCAAGATACAGAGCAGTAAGTACTGCACTGTTCCATCTTGACAAAACAAATTCACCCATCTACATACACACAGGCACATACAACACATGTCCACAAAAAACATCCCGGGATGTGACACACTAAACAGCTGGCTGGGCTTTTCCAAGGAAGAGGACCGAGGAGGCGCTCCCTTCTGCCTCTGCGCTGAACTCCTCACGGGGCGCGGTGCTGCTGTAACTACAAGCGGATGCCAGCCCCGGATCCCACGGGCTCCCCGGCATCTTCCTGTCTCCTGCCCGCCCTCTGCGGTGCCCGCTCAGGTCTCACCCATTCACACACGCCACTGCTGCCGGCTCTGGAGCTGCACCAGACTCCATCCAGCTGGCGGCTGGGCACACCTGTTTCTCTTTGGCAAGGCACAGAGCAGGCCCTCGTAGTCTTTTGGTGCAGGGGCTCCTCTGTGCTCAGGTCAAGGGCCACGGCACCAACCCTGCGTGGCCACACTCACTCCCTCCCAGGGGAAGGTGTCTGACGGGCTGGGCACCAGGCGCCTGCTGCTCTGAGGGCTCCTTCCCCCTGCCCCGTTCCCGCACGCTCCCCCTCCTCACCCCCAAGACCCCACCTGAGCTCTGCTGTCTCGGACACTCCCACCCCTGGGAGAGTCCTATCCTCACACGCCCTCTTCTCGGCTGGCTTTGGGGTCTAACACAGCGGGCAGCCCAGGTCCCTGGGTCCCCACACCGACTTTTCCCTTTGCCAAGTGAGCAAGCTTGGAATGAGCTCACGGTAGGGAAGGACGTCTCTGGCCTGCCCTTCTCCTAGGCCAAAGTGCTGCTGTCAGGGGTCTTCAGAGGCGCCGATGCGGAGCGAGCCCTGCAGCAGCACCAGGCACACCCGGTCCTGCCGCCTTTGGCAGTCAGTCCTTGGCCTTCAGTTTCTTGTCCTGCGCAACGAGGACAATGAATCGGGCTGCCTACCACACTCAGGTGCCCTGGACCCCAGCTGCTAAAGGCCAGGTGCTGGCCGTGATCTCCCAGTGTCCCAGGCCGCCGCTCGGCAGGACATGCTCCCGGGAGGCACTTCAGTACTAACACTCTCTTCTGTCCACGCCTCCTGCCCCGTCCACACCAGACCTCCACTGCTTCCTGACCTGCCTGGCACCTTCCTGCTTCCCCGGCTCTCTGTGTCCCTGCTGCACACACGCTCGACCCCTCTCCCTGAATCCTGCAGCATCGCTCGCATTGCAAGCACAGACCAGGTCATTCTTCCCCCGGCCAGAGCTCTGACCTCGTCAGCCCTCGCAAGGTTCTTCACTCTAGCAAAGAGCGACAGTCCAGGAACTAGTGCTACCCGGAAGGTGTGCTCTGAAGAGATGGGTGATCCTTGGGCAGCACGTGCCAAGGAGAACTCAGATGGGGGCAGCCACTCAGGGGGACTGCCCAAACTCAGGTCATGCTGCCTCCCCTGTCCTGGTCTATTCAGAAGGTCTTTCTGCATGGAACGTGTGCCTCACACAGGCATGGCAGAGACTTAAGGTCGCCTGAAAGGGGTCACAGCCTCTCAGCCTAAGCCCTGCCTGACCACGGACAGCCAGGCGGCAGTGGTGCGCTCTGCTCCCGGGGAAGAAAGGAGGTGAGCCCCAGCTGCTGCTCAAGCTTGGTATTGCTACGAGAACCTCAACTCGAGCAGTTTCCAAAGCGGCAGCTGCTCTGTGGGCCTGCCCTGTTGGGTAAGCCAGCTTCCTCTTGGGTCCAACTTCAGGTCTGAGAAGCCACAGGAGGGCAGGTTGGGGTGGGTGGGGAGGAAGAGTGCCAGATGAGAAGCGACTGGGGCAATGGCCACAGGCAGTGGAAGGTGTTGGAGTCCTCTCAGGTATCCAATGGGACAGAGACCAAGGCAGGCCAGGGATGGGGGCTGGCCCAGTCTTGGGAGAGAGGCCAGCGGGGGCTCAGTTCAGTCGGCAGGCCTAGGCTGGAGGGGGGATGGCAGTAGGGGAAGGGGAGAGGGGCTCCTCTGAGGCAGAGGCAGGGGCTGGGGTGGGAAGGGGTCAGGGACGGGATCTGGCCTTTGGCTGGTTTAGGTTCAAGCTGATGAGCGGTCAGGAAGCAGAAGCCAACAAAGTAAGGGGTTTACGCTGGGTTCAAGAGTAGAGGTATCCAGCTTCCAGTTTCTGAGGACCCAGCTAACTGGAATCAATTTCAGAACACAAAGGAAAAAAAAAAAAGGTGGGGTTTGGGCTGAGGCTGTTTTCCTGGGGTCACTGCTGTGGAGGGCCTGGGACGGGGGTTTAGGGGAGCACGATTCCAGTGAGACGGGACTGGATCTGGATGCTGGAACTGGCCGTGGGGCGGAGGGAGGCAGGACTCCTGATGGACGCCCAACAAGAGCTCTGCGGATCAGATGGGGGCGGGCCCGGAGTCTGGGATGGGGTGCCTGTCCCAGGTGGGATGTCCCAGAGGGAGGGTGGGGCCGGCTCGGCTGGGCCCCCGCAGTGCGAGGGTCGGGCCCCCAGCGCCCCTAACCGCGGCGGGACGCACCGGGAGGCCTGTGTCAGCGTCCGGGTCGGGGTGGAAACCAACTCCTGTTTGAGGAAGGTGTCAGGATGCGGGCGCGGGGTGGAGGGAACGGTGGTGACCATTGCTGACCGTCCCGCCTGGGAAAGGACCGGTCCCTGCCGGGCGTGTCTGGGACAGGAGCAGAGAGCGCCCAGTTTTGCCGCCGACCCTACCTTGCCGCGGGCGCAGCGCACCGAGCGCAGGGCGCCGAAGAAGATGGGCAGCAGCGCCATGAGCAGGAGGCTGCCGTAGGCCAGTGCGATGCCCTCGGGCGTGGAAGGCGGCCGCGTCGTGCCGTTGGCTGGGCTGCCAGTCTCGGCGCTGCCGTTATGCGGGTCGCTGAGGGCCGAGTCCATGGCGAGGCTGCGCTGGGGATCCGACTCCAGCTCCAGCCGCTGCAGCACCAACGCAGAGGGAGACACGGGCGCTGCGGGGAAAGCCACGTTCCCCTAAAGAAACAGGAAGTGACGTGCCTTCCTCGCCGCCGCGCGCCGCGCACGAGCGCGCCCACGCACGCACGCACACGCGCGCGTTCACGTGTCCCCGCCCGCTCGCCCTCTAGCGGTGGCGGAGGGCAGGGCGGCGGGTTGCTAAGCGACTTGGTACTGGTCGGGAAAGGAGCCTCATGTGTCCGAGGGTGCCCTGAGGACCCCATTCCTCGGCCCCAGTCGCCTCTGCCGTCGCAGGCTGTCCCACTCCCCACAACGCCTCATCCTCCTGATGACTGAGAATTCGCTTTTTCATGCGTGCCTTCATTCAGTGTTGAGTTGTTCATTCGCTCTTTAAATATTTATTGAGTGTCCCTATATGTCAGACATGGCCCTAAGCGCCAGGGACACAACACAGACAGAAATTCGTCCCCGTCCTCACGGAGTTTGCATTTTTGTGAGGTGAGTGGGAGGGGGTTGGAAGATAATCAGATGAACAAAATAAATAAAATATAAACCTGTAAGAGGTTAGTGTGTAGCTATGTGCCACATGGCAACTTAATAGAGATAAATAGAGGAAAAGTGAAGCGAAAGACGGCAGGGGAGCTTGGCGTTACCAAACATTCTGAGAGCCGACTATGAATCTGTCAATAATAGTTTATCACGTGGACAGTTTATAAATTTCGTGGGTCTTATCACAACTCCCTCTATGTGTAATGCTTATTTTTAATATTTATTTTTTGAAACAAAGTTTTATGCAAGGGGTAAAAATCCAACAACAAAAAATAAGCAACAGGTTCTTGGCCTACCTTCTTGAAGGCAATCACCATGAATATTTTCTTTCTTTCTTTTCTTTTCTTTCTTTTTTTTTTTTTTTGACAGGCAGAGTGGACAGTGAGAGAGAGAGACAGAAAGGTCTTCCTTTTGCCGCTGGTTCACCCTCCAATGGCCGCCGTGGCCAGCACGCTGCAGCCGGCGCGCTGTGGCCGGCGCATCGCGCTGATCTGAAGCCAGGAGCCAGGTGCTTCTCCTGGTCTCCCATGGGGTGCAGGGCCCAAGCACTTGGGCCATCCTCCACTGCACTCCCTGGCCACAGCAGAGAGCTGGCCTGGAAGAGGGGCAACCGGGACAGAATCCGGCACCCCGACCGGGACTAGAACCCAGTGTGCCGGCGCCGCAAGGCGGAGGATTAGCCTGTTGAGCCACGGCGCCGGCCCTTCTTTATTTATTTTCAAAGATTTATTTATTTTTTATTTGAAAGGCAGAGTTAAAGAGAGATGGGGTGGGGGGGAAGAGAGAGAGTCTTCCATCTGCTGGTTCACTCCCCAAATGGCTGCAGCAGCCAAAGCTGGGCCTATCTGAAGCCAGGAGTCAGGAGCTTCCTCCGGGTCTCCCACATGGGTGCAGGGGCCCAAGGACTTGGGCCATCTTCCACTGCTTTCCCAGGTCATAGCAGAGCTGTGTCGGAAGTGGAGCAGCTGGGACTTGAACTGGCGCTCATATGGGATGCTGACACTGCAGGTGGTGGCTTTACCCAATATGCCACAGTGCTGGCCCCTGAATATTTTCTTGTCTACAATCCATCTACTGCATCTCCATACATTTGTAAACATATATATCCATTCAGTGAATTGTTATTGGATACCTAGGACATAAGAGGTGCTAGGCTAGGCTCTAGGAATCTAAGTACTATAAATGAGACAAATGTGGGTCTAGGCAGTGAATTAAAAAGAGGAAACTATGCTGGGAAGGAAACTACCTTGGGTGGGTGCCCAAAGGAAGTCTGACAACTAAAGGGTAAGAGAGGAGCCAGCCAATGGACAACAGTTCCAGGTAGGGGTATGGACAAAGGGCCCGGTGAGCTGGAGGACCCAAAGATGATAGGGGTGTTCAGAGGGGAATAAAGAGAGCTGGCATGAATCATCTCACAGTAACATGAAGATGGTCAAGGGTGTTATGCAAGAAAGTGATATATCCTACATTTCTGGGTTATTATTCATTTAATACATGTCTTCTCTGTTGGAGTATATGTTCCATGAAGGCAGAAGCCAGATCTGCACTATTTCACTGCTGAATTTTAAGTCCCTGGCACAGTGTCTGGCACATGGTATGTGCTCATTGAGCGCTGAGTGAATGCACATCTCATTTGATTTTCAGGATAAGTCTTTGGCGTAGGTAGGACACCCCTTAGCTTCATTTTGTAGATGAGGAAACTGAACACCCAAGGGCTTATACAGCCTGCCAACAGCAGAGTCAGGACTCAGAGTTCTCTTGATTCCAAGTCAGGGGGTTATTTCCCGCACCCACACCTGCCTTTATCACCCTTCTCACTATTCCTGCCCCTCTGCACCTGGGCCATCACTGAAACTCCCCCTTCTGCCTGCTGACAGCTTTTTCCCCCTAGCCTGTCCTTCAGGGTCCCCTGCCTCTATCCATTCCCCTTCGTATTAGAGGTAGAACTGGGAAATGCATGGGACACTCATGCAGGTGGTAAAGAAAGGAATTCTCCTGTGGGAGCCACAGATTCGGCCTGGGTAGCTTGATTTGGCAACTTGAACTTGAATCTCCTCCACTGAGTCAGGCCACATGTATTTGGAATAGTAGGGAGGACAGGACCTGGCGTACAGAGGTGCTTAGCCAGTGTTTTACAAGTAAACGCAAGAATGAATGACGTGAGCCTTGGGCCTCTGTTTGTCCCTTTACGGCTGTGCAGCCTGGGCCAAGTCATTTCACTCCCCAGGCCCAGTCTCTTCTTCTGATGGGCAGGGTCTGTTAAGAGACAGGAGTGGGAAACTTGGAAGACGTAGTAAATGCTAGATACTGTACATTTTTCTTTTCATTTCCCTCTTCCCACTGGTTCCTGGGAAGTCAGTGTCAAAGCTGCATCCCCCCTGAGCAGTGAGCTATTTTCCGTAATCTACCAACCTCACCCTGATTCATCTTACTACCCTACCTGCACCTTTCTGCTTTTTTCAACTTTCTCGTCTATTTTTTAAAAATCGTGTTGTGCTTGACTGTTTTCTTATAGCATATTTAGATAGCTTTTCAGAAAGCAGGAAAATGCACTATTTAGTCCATGACTATTCTGTACAGGGAAATATTGGATTCATCCTTGTGAGGGAAACATACGTGAAGAAGATCCAGTTTCTGTTCTCCAAAAAGATGTGCGTATGGCAGGGGGAAGAAAGGTAGAAGACAAACTCATGCCTGTAAACCGTGACCAGCGACACAGGTGTGCAGTCAGGCAGGGGTGAAGAGCAAGTGTGAATGACAGCCCGGGGAGCTGCCATCTTGGGGGATGTGTTTGATAGTCTGAAAGACAAGATGCACTTGTTTGGGGTGGGGGTTATTCATTCCTTTAAGAGGTGGGCCAGATTAAAATGGAAAGGATTCAAACCCACCTTGAAGGAATGGATGGAGAACAAATTAGTGACTGGCCGGGGTTTGGGAAGCCGAGGGGTGGCTGTGAGTACAGAGGGGCAGTCAAAGGATGCACGAGTAACTTTGTGCTTTTTCCAACCCAGGAACACCAGTAGCAGCGGTTGGTCCTATTTTGCAGAAGAGGAAAATGAACCACAGGAATCTGGACCAGAGACAGTAGCTTCTGGGCCAAGAGGGGTTGTTTGAGGCTCCGCTTTTCTATAAACTGGACACAGCCCAAAGGGATGGGTGAAGGCAGTGTGCCTGATGAATTCAGCCATCAATAATTCAGGCCACAGCATCTGCCTGGCAACCAGGCCCCGCGCCTCCGAGTCTCCTTGTCTGAGAGCACAGGAAAGGAAATTGGAGACACGTCGGCTTCCAGGTGGGCTGGGCACTTGAGTGAGTTTGGCTTGAGGAGATCCAGCCGTCTCCTCTTACACTCCCGAGAGGAGAGAAGTGAGGGGCTAAGCCAAGTTCAGAAAGCTCTCATCAAGTCTCTGTCTGGAAGGTTGGTTCCTGCCTTGGAGCCGAGTCTTGATGCTCCCAGGAGGCTGAGGATGGGTGCCCCGAAGCCCCTCTTAGGAGGTCTCCACTCTGGGGTCACTTCTGAACCGAGCCTGCTTAGAGGCTGGGCGAATAAATTGCCAAATATTTGTTCCAGGGAAAGAGGCAGCTCCCTCCGTTTGCATTTATTATTGTGTTTGGTCACTGTGAATGGATTTCAGACTTTGCAGTTTTCTCTCATATACTCGTGTGTCCACACACACACACACACACACACACTTGCATGCAGTATTAAATGTCTAAACAGTTCCTAGAGTAGCAAGCTTGCATCATCAGTGGGTGCCAGCCTGTTAGGAGGAAGGTGGTTGAGCAGGATCGTCACACAGCCTTGAGGTGTTACCTGCTGACCACTCACTAATGACAGAGGAAAGAACTGCCTTACAGCGAAGGGCCCTGGAGGATGCTCCCTTAACCGAGGGATCAAACTCGCATCACCAGCAATGAGTCAGAATGGCAAAAGGCAAGCAGTGGAGGGGGACACATCACCTGTGCTGTGCCCAACACGCCCAACATGTGTCACACACATCTGCTTGGGGGAACCTCAGGAAACATCAGGAAGGTCCAGATGGTGGCATTTTCTATACCATGAACTTTTAAAAAATAGTAGTGCCATGAAAGACAAAACTCAAACCAAAGCCAAACAAAGCAACAACACACAAACAAAAACAACAGTTCTAGACAAAAAAATCCTACATTAAAAGGAGACTGAAGAGAAATGAAAACCAAATGCAATGTTTCAGCTTTGATTGGATTCTGGATCAAACCATTTTTTTTTTACAAAAAGATATATTTGTTTATTTGAAAGAGTTACAGAGAGAAAGACAGACAGACAGACAGACACACACACACACAGAGCTTCCATCTGCTGGTTCATTCCCCAAATGGCTACAATGCCCAGAGCTGGGCAAGGCCAAAGCCAGGAGCCAGAAACTTCTTTTGGGTCTCTCTTGTGGGTGCAGGGGCCCAAACAGTTGGGCCATCTTCCTCTGCTTTCCCAGGCACATTAGCAGGGAGCTGGACTGGAAGTGGATCAGTCAGGACTTGAACCAGGCACTTCCATTTGGGATACAGGCATACCAAGTGGTGGCTTTAACTTGCTGTGCCATATCCTGGCCCTGGCCCTATGGTCTTGACCCATGTGAGAGAAAGTAGAAGAGCAGTAAAACTCTATGACTGCTCTTGTTATCTGCTGCAGCCACAGGACCCTTAAATATGTTTGTACTCAATGAATATGAATATGAGTGGATGGGTGTATTGTTCCTTCCACCTAACTTTTTCCTTCACTCCACAACCCTGACTGCCTCCATTTCTAGCAGGAAAGAGCTCCACCAAGTACCACGGGGACTTTACTGATAAAAGAAACAGGGAGAAACAATTTCTCTGCCCCTGTAACTCCTTGCATCAGGGCTGGGATCCCCATGGGAGAAAACGTTTTTGGAGGCCAAAACTGTATGCATGGAGCTGTTCCTAACAAATTGTTTTTAGCTCCATCCACGATTCTACAGAAATTCTCTAGAATTTCTTCCAAGTCTTCCAGGGGGTACGTACAGGCTTTCCCTGCAATGTTGTGTGTGTGTGTGTGTGTGTGTGTGCACGTGCACATGCATGGCAGTGGGAAATGAGAGTTGTGAGTCCCTGGGGGACCAGACAGATAGCATGTGCTGCATGCTCCCTCTGGGATACGAGACAGTAAGACGAAGCCGTATCCAACAGTGCGTGCTCAGTTAGGGGGATGCTGTGTCCTGGTTTGGGCCTGTGTCGTGGCCTAATTATTGATAGAGCCCCTTGCAGTAGCACGTTTTCATGCTCCTGTCTCAAGAATGGCTGAGCTGCTACAAGCCCCTGACGCTCTCTCGAGCTGTCTTTCCGGTTTTCAGTCCGCTTCCAGGGAGAGATGTAGTCCCCGGCCATCCTGGCAGGGTCTGGAAGCCACTCCAGGAGCAGTGCCTGTGCAGATGGGTCAGAAAGGACCCAAAGGCCGCCTCTGCTTCACTTTCATACTGACATCACCCCATTACTGTAACATACAGGCTATGTTGGACGTGTTTCTGAACTTGCACCCACCCCTACTTGTGATGGCACAAGCTGCCCCTCTTCCGTATTCACTTTCCCTGAAAAGAAAAGATACCTGTTTCCCTTGCTTGTGAAGTCACAGCTTCAGAAATGATTCCGCGTGGTCTCCTTACTGGCTGTAAATGAACCGCTGTGCAGGGCAGCCCCCTCTGGTGAGTCCTTAGACCTTCCGGGAAGCAGGCCCACGAGTCGGGGTGGGTAGTGAGTCACTGGGTCATGTTCACTAGAAGCAGAGGCGGTGGTGGGGGGTTCTTGTTTGACTTTGGTGGGAGCCCTGTATCTGTCAGTCATTGGCCATAGTCTGGGGGCCAGCTGGGAGGTCATCTCATTGGCCAACGACACCCTACAGAAGAGAGTGGTTTCCAGACAGTACAACAGCCTGGGGAGGCCACCACAATTTGGTGAAGGGATCTCAGCACGGCTCCAGCAGCATCCTCACAATCTCCTTAGCAACATGAATAGGTCTTTTAAATGTAGATCTGGGGACAGGCTTTGTGGCGCACAGGTTAAGCCACTGCTTGGGATGCCCGCATCCCATGTTGGTGTGCCTAGTTCGAATCCGTGCTGCTCTGCTCCCAATCCAGCTCCCTGCTAATGGGCTGAGAAGCAGCAGACGATGGCTCAAGTGCTTGAGCTGCTGCCTCCCACGTGGGAGATCTGGCTCCTGGCTTCAGTCTGGCCCTGTTCTGGCTGTTGCAGCCATTTGAGGAGTGAACTAGTATGTGGAATATCTATCTCTGACTCTCTCTGTGTCACTCTTTACAATAAATAAATCTCTTTTTTTAAAGCATAGAGATGAGCATTAGGAAAAGGAAAATATACAGCATGTTTTATAGAATCGCAGAGTATATACACGGCTGCATGGAAATTTGCTTTTTAGAGAATATGTGTCAAGCACTTCCCTGTGGAGGGAAGGAACAAGAGTGGGAGCTGGGGATTAAAACAAAAAAAATATCAGGGCTTAGCGGGTGGCACCACTGTCTGCAACACCACATCCCATATGGGTGCCGGTTCAAGTCCTGGCTGCTCCACTTCTGATTTGATCCAGCTCCCTGCTAATAGCCTAGGAAAAGCAGCAGCAGATGGCCGAGGTGTTTGGACCCTGCCACCGTTGTGGGAAACCTGGATGAAGCTCCTGGTTCCTGGCTCCAGCATGGCTCATTCCTGGCCATTGCAGCCATCTTGGGAGTCAATCAGTGGATAGAAGATCTGTCTCCATCTCTCCCTCTCTTTAACTCTGACTTTAAAAGAAATAAATAAATCTTCAAGACAAAACAGAGAGAACATAAAACAGAGGCCGTGGGGCCAGCGCTGTGGCACAGTGGGTAAGGTCAATGCCTACAGTGCCGGCATCCCATATGGGCGTCAGTTCGAGTCTCAGCTGCTCTACTTCCTATCCAGCTCTCTGCTATGGGCTGGGAAAGCAGAAGATGGCCCAAGTGCTTGGGTCCCTGCACCCATGTGGGAGACCTGGAAGAAGCTCCTGGCTCCTGGCTTCCGATTGGCGCATTTCTGGCAGTTGCGTCCATTTGGGGAGAGAACTAGCGGATGGAAGACCTCTCTCTCTCTCTCTGTAACTCTACCTTTTAAATAAATAAATCTTAAAAAAAAAAAAAAACAAACAGAGGCCTTGTGGAAAATGCTGATGACAGTTTACTGTACAGGATGAATATAATCCTAAGTATGTGTAGCGGGGGAGAGTGTGTGTTTCTGTCCAGTGGTTCATTCCCCAAACTCTGGCAACATTGGGGCTGAGCCAGGCTGAAGCCAGAAGCCGGGAACCCAGTCTGGGTCGTGCATCTGAGTGGCAGGGACCCAAGTACCTGCTGCCTCTCAGGGTGCATTAGCCGGAAGCGCTAATGGAACCCGGAGTCTGATTACCTCCTTCTGCCGCCGACATTCACAAAGGACAACAGAAGATCCTTGAAGACTTTAAGACAAAGACATCATTTCTGGGTCCCCTTGGTTGTTTGTTGACTTGGGAATGGAGGCTGCATTTGCAGAGGGTGGCCAGAGCCCTTTCCACGGGCGGAAGCCTGGCTGGGAGCGGCTCTTAACCCCCCACCCACCCCGGAAGAGGTGACTAACCTAGGCCTGGCCGGGACAGGCTGGCACGGAGCTGCCCGCGACCCCAGCACCCCAGCGCAGCCTCTGCCTCCTCGCTGTCTTGATTTGCTTGCTGTCTTCGCACTCGCCGGCGGCCCCGGCAGCCGAGGGGACCCGCGACTCCCAGGCTCCTGCGCGGTCTGGGCCCAGGGCGTGCGGGGCGCCTCAGGCGTGGCGTGCGTGGGGCTCGCGTCAGGCGGGAATGACGGCGGGATGTTAGCCGGGCCGTGAGTCCGGGTGAGAGCGCGACTGCCCGGCCGTGGGTGAGGCGACGGCTGGACCGTCCGCCCCAGGGGCACGCGCGACCGGAAGCGTCCTGCCGGCCGGGGCTGCGGCGGCCACGCGGCTTTGCGTTGGAAATGAACAGGAGTTCGTGGGAAAGGGGCAGACAGAAACGAGCGGGAGGGTGAAGGCGGGACAGGAGCCATGCGGTGGCGCGGGGCTGAGACCCCGCCGGGGCACAGGGGCGGCTCTGAGGGCAGCGCGCGGCCGCCGGGCCCGCCATGCGCTGCGGGGGCGCCGCATCTAGTTCAACCCGCAACGGTACGAGGAGCCGTCAACCGAGGAGAACGGGTTCTGGAATCACAGGCTACCACGGGCACTCTGGCTGCAAACGGAATGGG